GAGCCACAGACACAAACACACTCCCAAGACAAACCTGATCTGCAGCCATGAAACTCTGTCTTCAGCAGTTCGGCCAGGGACTGTTGATAGAGTGGGTGAGAAGACTCAGAAAGGATCCTCAAACTTTCCAAGTCGATAGTGTTCACCAAAAAGTTCTGGTGAGCCGTGTTTCTGGCCATGCCTGCGTAAGGGATCTCTGCTTCCAAGCATGCAACGGCCAAAGCGCCTGACCCCGGACTGAAGTCCAGGACAGAGGCTGCTTTTGTAATAGTCAAGAGGTTGGACCAGAAGTTGACACTCCTCAGACCACACTGGCACTCTTTTCAGATGGATAACCTAGGAAGCTTATTAATTAAGTTACACGACCACGACCTCAGGCCCTGACTTGCTTTCCTGCCAGAAGACTGGCATGGTTGCACGTTTCCAAGCTCGAGGGGTTGGGATGTCGACCTCCTGCCTGCCGAAGATCTTGGCCTTGTCACCTGCGGTGATGAGCTGCATGGTGGCCAGGCTCTCCAGCTCAACACCGTTGAAGGTGGTGTCGAAGCTAGTCGATCCTTTCTCCGACCAGGTGTACGGGTCCTGAGTTGCAACTGGGTAGTTGCATGAGAGGGACTTGACTTTGACTGAGTTGCAAACAAGTTTCTTCGCGCTCATCTGTGCAGATGCGAACTCGGCTGACAGTCCCCTTCATCCAGCCATTCTCCCTGTAGTGTGCAGCTCCAAAAACCCTCCGGCCTGGAGAGGGCCTCTTCGTGTGGTCGGAAACGTAGTGAACACTGAACTCTGTGACCCGTGTGGGAGCGGTCAAGACGCCGAGCGCATCCTCAATGGCCCGCCTGTTGTTCACATTTCTTCCATCCCACATGAGGACAAAGTCGCCTTGGGCCAGTGCAATCTTCTCCATGTAAGCGCTGATGCGTCTGACCTCATCTGCACTGACATGCGATGTCATTGTCCAGGGCATCATTGTTGTCTCATGATGGAGGTCAGCGCTCCAGACAAACCTCTGTGCAGCAAGCACTCTCTCTCTCTCTCTCTCTCTCTCTCATGTGTGATGTGTTCTGACTTGAGTACTTGCCACTTGAACCTGTTAGAAATTGAAGTCTTGTGAGAAGTAGATGTAGAGGCCTGCTTTTTGGAGATGACATCGGCAAACAATGCTACCTGCTTCGTACCTGGTGCCGATACTAGACTACACAACATGTCTATATCTGGCCCTCCTTGGCTAATGCATGGTACTCCTGTAAAAATATTGGAAAGTCACACCGTCCTGGGTCTAGACATGTTTTGAAGCAACTAATCTGACAAGCGGCAGTCGGTGCTCCTCGTTCAGTTTCGGGACATGTGCCCGGACAGCGTCGCATGCAGATCTGTCGAACATGTTGCTTCCGGCCGAAAAGTCGGCTGTTGAGAATTGCACCAACTTTTTCCTCAGACACACAGCCTTGTTGTAGATCTCTTTGCGTTCCCGAATCTTGGCCTCCTTCCCGTCCTCATCGCCCAGACACATGGCTAGGCTTCGGGCATCCAGCCCGGGACCACTGGAGCTCAGACCTGTAGCAGAAGTCGTCTCACGTGAGTTCGAATTCAGCAGCCTCAGGCACTCGTTGTACTCCTTGTACCTGCCATTTTTGGTTGCAGAAATGAAACACAGATAGTTTGGGCATCGATACTGTAACACAGCCAAGGCACAGCCCCAAGTCCTTGTTCTCGCTGGCCGGACTCGACATATCATAGAGGAGTTTGAAGTTCTTTCCGGCCAGAACACACCGAAGGTCTTCATCGTACTCGCCCTCGTACAAGTCACGAATCAGGCCAAAGAACCTCTTCTGATCCTCAGTGAGTTTGTTGACCTCCGACGCAACGGACTCCTCAGGCACAGTCTTCACTGCCTCCTCTGACCCGGCAGGAGCGGCAGGAAAGGCCTTGTGGAAAGTCAGGGGTGAGTCCAGCTGTTTCAGCACTGAAGTCAAGGCTTCCATCTTCAGCTGCTCCGGGAACTTGAGGAGGTTGCTGACTAGGAGGAACTTCAGAAAAGTCATTGTCATCCAACCTTGCTTCTTATCCCTGCTCTCCAGGTTCCTGGAGCTGAAAAAGCTGGGCTGGACTTCCTCCCGCCTGAGGAGCACCAGTGCGAGGCCGAAGGTGAAGACCAGGGCCTCCTCTTGGAAGTCCTCACCCTGAAGGGGCAAGCCAGACAGACCCATTGGGCTAGAGGTTTAATTATTAATTACTAATTTAATTAATAATCTAATACATAATTATTAAAATTAATAATAATTAATAATAATGGGTTTAAGTCTCTGGCACAATCCGATCCTCGACGAGTGTTCCGACTGTCTGGCTGAAGCGCACCAGTTTGCTGAAGCCATCTGAGAAGATGGTGGGTCCATATTCGACCCGGATCGCTCTGAGCAGTTCGTGGGCTCGGGCGTTGAACCGTCTCATTGCCACCACGGCGTTGATGACGGCACGGGTGACCTTTGTCCCCCTGAAGCGAACGTTGTTGGCTTGCCTCAGACCAACATGTTTTGCCACGAATTGTTGCATCCCAATTCAACTAATGAATGAAAAAAAAGCTGCTTCTGCTAAATCCTCATGCCAAAGCAAAGCCACAAGTATCGTTCTTGCTCTGCTATGGTGGCCTTCTTCTTCTGGTCGTCCAACAGAAGTGCCACCTTCTTCGACCAGATGGGGAAATCATCTTTGAGGTCCTCGGCCGTTCCATAGTCTTCTGAGACACTGAGACTTTGCAATAAAATGTCTGCCTCCGG